CCACAAGGAAAAAAAAAATAGAAGGTCAGACAGAAATGTCCAGCCTTCTGAGACAGCCTTAATGGTAATCTGGCATGCCGGGTTTCCTATCTGGAATTGTTGGTCAGATATTCCTCAGCAACCACAAAAATCCACATGTTCCTTTGTCTCAAAGACACTGATGATGAATCACAGAATCACAGTATCACAGAACGTTAGGGATTGGAAGGGACCTCAAAAGATCATCTAGTCCAATCCCCCTGCCGGAGCAGGAACACCTAGATGAGGTTACACAGGAAGGCGTCCAGGCGGGTTTTGAATGTCTCCAGAGAAGGAGACTCCACAACCTCTCTGGGCAGCCTGTTCCAGTGCTCTGTCACCCTCACTGAGAAGAAGTTTCTTCTCAAATTTAAGTGGAGCCTCCTGTGTTTCAGCTTGTGCCCATTACCCCTTGTCCTATCATTGTTTGTCACCGAGAAGAGCCTGGCTCCGTCCTCGTGACACTCACCCTTTAAATATTTATAAACATGAATGAGGTCTCCCCTCAGTCTCCTCTTCTGCAAACTAAAGAGACCCAGCTCCCTCAGCCGCTCCTCATAAGGGAGATGCTCCACTCCCTTAATCATCTTTGTAGCCCTACGCTGGACTCTCTCCAGCAGTTCCCTGTCCTTCTTGAACTGAGGGGTCCAGAACTGGACACAATATTCCAGAAATAAGTTGGCTCTTTCGTTGCTGTGTTTGAGACATGTCTGCTTTAAAATACATGAGGTGAGAATTAGGTCATACATCAAGGCCGTCATGAACAGCTGAGACATACACTTCAGGCCCAAGTAGGAAAACAAAATCTCTGACAAAATTCCCTTGCTTCCTGTATACCTATATAATAGGCTCCTTCCAGAGCTATATTGATCTTGATAGCCATATCCATACTTACCAAAATGGTGAAAGACAGAATTTCCGAGCAGCAGGACTATGGAGCAGTATCTTAATAACCTGAAAGAGCATTTTCTAAAAAACAGCCGATGACTTCTTGAGACTCTCAGTTTGTTACTGCCAATGCTGGACCACACTATTGGATGGAATATTCTGGCAAAGATTCATCTAACCACTCTGAAATGCATTTTCTGTTTCATAACGCTATTTGAGATTAGCGTCTCCTGAAGGAAAACTACGTGGCTAAAATTCCAATTTGTAGTTTTTATATGGTGAAAATATTATAAATTTTAGAACCAGAAATGTTGTATTCTCTAGTATGCCATGTTCTGGTTTACAGGGTTTAGGTGATGATGCACAGAAAACTTAGCAGTGAATTACACCACTACTCACTTTATGGCCCTTTTACACCAGAGTTTTGGCTGGTGCCAAATCTAGCATCCAATATCATATTGTAAATAAGAATTCAGTTAGGCTAGAAAGCATAACTAAATAGGTCACTACACCATATGACAGTAGATAAGTATAGAGTGATACATCGATATGATTATCTGAAAAGCAGAACAGCTGACTGAGTTATGCCACCTTTGCACAGAACAGACATCTACAGACCGTTTCAAACTTTCAGGAAAATGAAATAAGAAGGACACACAAGAGTACTTGTTCATCTAACATCAGCAAAGATTTTGTGTATGGGAGCCAAAATTCCTTTTTGGTTTTGGCTGGTAGCGGAACGCAAGTTGATAAACTGACTGTCTTCTAAAACATTTTTGGGTGTTTGGCATCAAATACGTGCCTGTTTGGCGAATGGTATAATGAACACAAAGATTACTGTGTTGAGGCATTTTGTGAGATGTGTGCAATTCAAAGTATCATCCTGATGGCTTGAAAGTGATCTGGTAACATGGTCAATGGTTGTAAGACTAGTGTTCAAGCAACTTGGCGTATTATTTTCACTTACAGACTATCGGCATACAATTAATTTCATCTAAGATTAGATAGCTTGCAATGTAAATTTCTGCAGTTGGATTCGCTTTCTTCATATTCAGTCTTCACCAACGTCAAACTTACTCACCATCATTCTCCAACTAATTGTTCTCCTGGATTTTTGTTTTCATTGTGTCAGTGGACCTTGCCAATCACATTCTTGACTGGCCCATTTCCCTGCATTGCCAGTTTTCACATGTAGGAAAAAGGTAAAATGCTATTCTGAGGTTGAAGAGCACTATGGATGCAGTCCACAGGCAGTCAGGAGCTCTCAATTAGGACTGGCTAATGGCTCTGTGCACTGAACATCACCAGTGAGGCAGCTTTTCCTTGGTGAGATATGCCAGTTGCTAGATGGATTGTTTAAATCATGACCAACTTTACAGTTAACTTGACATTCACAGATGTACACTTAATGCTCTCCTCATCAAGCAAAGCTAATGCAAAATACATATTATTTACATCAATATAATGAGAAGACCCTATCCAGAGCAGCGCTGCAATCAAAAAAGTATACACATGTTAGCAAAGTCACTCAGTTATGTCTTTGTTTTAATGATTTTTTTAAACATATGTATCATCAGACAAAACATTAAGGTCATGAGAAAATATTTATTTCCAACAGCATGGATTTTGAAAGTTAGTTGGAAGAAGGCATGTTCAATGCTATGATTTTTCCAATGCTGGGTCAGTTGAAACTGTGTGTTGTAGTGCATATATTAACCAGTTACTTTAAGGAAATGCAAAAAGACATAGTGAAGTAGGAAGTGAGTACAAACATTCAAGGCAGTAAAAATGCAGAATACTGACACATGGCTGAAAAATGGACTTTTTGTAATGCTCTTTTAGTATCACACAAAACTAGCAACTCACTTTAAAACATTCTTTGTCAGCAACCATACTTCTGACCATATGAAATTATCAAATTTAACACAGTCTTTCAGCTGGAAGAGATATTAAGGTCTAACGCTCATACCAAATGCTTAGATTTTGTTAGCTTTGCTTGTTATTTAGGATAGTTTTGAGGTACTGGACCAGTATCCCATAGGTTGGTTTTTTTTAATTTATTTGTACAGAAACATGCAAATAGTAATGCATGAGGGTTTTATATATTTGATTATAATTGGATGTATTATTGATAGAGCACACCAAGCTTTTTTTGTTACATTTTATGCTGAACTGTTCCATTTCCACACCTACCATCACATTTCTCATGGCTTATCCTAAAAAGCCAGAAAGTGGAGAAAGTAAGAATGTCTTTACCTAGAACATATATTAATGAAAAGAATTATTTTACAGATAGATGTATCTATCTACATATAGTTAAGATTACATGGTATGTTTATCAGCATGAAATGTAAAAAAAAAAGTTCTCCAAACACCCCAAACTAGTAGGAAAACACAGTCAACTGGCACAATACACTCTTTAAACCAGTTTTGTATAAGGCTTCAGTTTTCCTGATGAATGGGACTAAATTTTTAAGTAGGTCTGTACACATTTTAGTCATTATAACTGTTTTATGTCACAATATATTCTTAATAAAATAAAAACTCTTGTGTTGTAATTAAAGATAGCTAGTTACCTTCTAGACAAATATGACCTTTTAGAGAGTAGGCTGTGTCTAAAGTATAAGAAGTAGAATTAAGGTGCTTCCATATTTTTCATTCTTAAAAAGTACCACACATAAACAATTGCAATAATTGCTTGTGGACATGCTTTTCTTTGGCTTTTACCATATATGTAATAGCATGTGATCCCCTTTTGGAGACTTTTATATTCATTACTTGATTTTGTAAAAATTGAGTTGTAAAACTTAATGGAACAAAATGTTGGAAGTATTTCCTTTGTCACAGCTACACTTTTTCTCTTCCTTTCATAATTTCCGTTTGCATCAAGCAGTAACTGCAAGCAACAATAAATTTAAAGCTAGATTTTCTGCATGTTGTAAACTGGGTAGGACCAGGAGTTACTGACAAAACCATCTGGTCATGCAAGATTAGCAAATTCTCTGTATTCCAACGCGTTGCCATCTAATCTGTCCTGTTTCCCCCAACACATACTAACACAATGAAGCTGGACAATGGTTCAACAGCAAGTGCATGTGATAGTTCTGGCAAGACTATTTTTGTTTTGATTAAGCACATATTTTATCCGGGAGGGGCTAGAAAAGCAGGGCCTTTTTCTTCAGGTCGTTCCGCTTCCAAAGTGCCAGACGATCAAATTCCTCAATGCTCATTTTGAAGACTTCCTGGAACTCTTCAGGGGACAAATGCCTCTTGAAAATGAAAACACAAAAAGTATCATTAAGCTCTTCTGTGCACAGGAATATTTTGTCCCTTCCTAAGTTTTAAAACACACCACAAAATAATGCATTAGGATTTGCATTTAAATTCCTAAATTGGTTCTGGAAAAGACTGCATCAAAACCAAAAGAACTCAGAGTAGCTGGGAAATGAAATTACTGATGGCAGTAGTGACTTTTGAAAAAAAAACACAATCTTTTCAATATAGTTCCAACTGAGCAGAAGCTGTGGTCTTCAGCAAAAGATGTTTACACATGGTGCTTGATGACAGAGCACACTGAGACAAATTTAAGCTATTCCAGGACTTTAAAGAGATTGATAACAATATAATTTCAGAGTTGGATTTGTTTTGCCTTGATCTTTAATGAGAGTAGTGGACGCCACACTGGTCCACTAATAGCAGCCTTATAACAAAGGAAAGAGCACACTGCTAAATTCTTAAACCCAAAATATGCTTATCCATGGGGATAGACTTGTATCAGAAGTCCAAGTTGGATGAAGTTGTTTTTCTTTAAATGCCAAGAACTACACTTTTATTTGATGTTTTTATGATTTAACATTTAAAAAAAAGATAAAAAAGGGAGAATACTAACATAAAGAATTTGAAGGAGACAGGATAATTGCCTAACAATTACTAGTATACACACAGAAAAGACAGAGAAGATAAATGTGTGAATTAGAAATGAATATCATATAAAATTTGTCTGGTAACTGGACTAACTGTTTTTCAAGCATTTCAGTAGCATCAGTTATGGTTCTCTGTTCCTGATGCGTTAAGCACACACTGTCCAAAATTGACAGATTCAGTGCAATAAGAAATACACATTGCAACTTTTAAACATGGACTCTCCTCTTCCACAAATATTTCCTTGAAACCTGGGACCTGCAACCTAACCCCCTCCTCCCCAACCAAGCTTTTGACTTGAAGCTCTCCAGGCACAGCTTGCTTTCCATGCACACATGCAGCCCTGTCCTAACCTTGGCACCAGCTGAAGCACCACATGCATCCAAAAATGAGATCCCCCCAGAGCTTCTAAGTGCAACAAACGCTTGGGCATGCCCCACACAGCAGAATCAGGCTAAACACACATTAGACAACTGTGTTATTTCAAAGGAAGGATGTTGGCCCCTTCCTTTCATCTCGCCGCCTCCTGGTTGTAGGACTTCCCAGGAGGTGAGAAACCTGGGACCAGTGTCCTTGTCACTTAGAGGAGGCTCAAAACTGCCATCTAGTCCACACCACTCAGTCTCAAGATGCAAGCCAGCCAGGAGTGTAATTTTGAAGGAGAGACAGTCCTCTCAAATGTGAATAACATTGCCAGCAAATGCTGAGCGCAAGATGCTGGAGATAGGGGAAAGCACAGCACTCCCCAGAGGCTAGGGAGCCACTGGGTCCTTTAGATGATGTTTTTACTGATAATTCAAACAGACCAAGGTCGTTTTTCATTTGAGTCAGGTCCCAGCATTATCTGGAAGAGTGCTACCTGCTATTAGCCAAAACTGTGGCAGGGACCATGTTATCATGCCCTAGTAATCCCACGATTGTTCACCTGACCAGGATGGACACAGCCCCACTGGCCTACCTTATAAGGCTATTTTTTTGGACAAAGTTGAAGGCAAAATTTTACTTTCCACTTACTAACAGTGCATTTATCATTTTAATGTAAATTACTCAAGGAAAATTAATGAAATTGTTTATAGGAAATCACAACATTTAATTACTTTGAATGGTCATTATGGGCCCTTGTGGTTTCTAAAAAAAACGACAGCCTTGGGCTTTTTGCCTTGAGATTCCACATATTCAGAACAACAGTGACTAAGAATCTGGAACTGAGCCTTCATTTTTCATTTGACCAATGATAGCAACCCACCATAAGCACTATGCAGAGCATGGAACAAACACGCCATGCATATTTGGCAACGGAGATCCTGTTTCGCATGGAAATGAGCAACATCTGACAATGTATTATAGAAACAATCTCTCACTGACAGAATTTAATTCTACTGGCTTTGAAAGAAAAAGTAACTTCTTTCTGCATTGATTTTTTTTTCATATTTTCCTGGTAATCCAGTGGACAAATGTAAGCAAGCTTAACTTCAGCAATTTCTCACACCAAGGAACATGTCTGTAGATTGTGAGTTTGAAAAACAAGTCTGGATGAGTAAAGTATATCATATTTTGTTTTATCTTGCTTTCTAGATTGTGGTTAAGACTTGAGATGTCCCCTCACTCAGGAGAGATCAGTGACAAACTGTAGTTCATACTCAAAGAGAGAATCAGAAAGCCCATCCCTGCAGGTAAACCCACTTTGCCCACCATATAAAACCATAGGAAATGTAAAACTTTAAAAGAAATGTTTTCACCATTTTTTTTCTTGAGGTAAATGACACCATTTCTTCCTAGGAACTACTGTAGTCTCATCAGATGTGTTTCAACACTGAAGGTCAATGGAGAGAGAGTCAGCAGGCCTCAGGCCTTTTCTGCAGGGTGTCGAACACTCACTACACTTCCTCTCCCAACAAAGCTTCCCACCAATCTCACTACAAGCTCTGCAATTCCCCCTTTCCTCTCCAAGGCCGTGCTTTGCCATTTATCATCTCACTTTACCCTCAGGCTCAGCAAACTTTCAGTCCACATGCATTTATCCAAGCCAGGAGGAATTAGATGTGTGCTCTGCTCCTCTGCTTGTAACCAGATGACACCAGCTTTATTCCTTGCCTGCACTCATTTTCTAATTATGCTTAAGTTTTGTGTTATGCCAGCATCATTTTTTTTCCTCACAGCAGTTCTCAGTTGGTGCCACCTGATCCAAAAGCAGTTGTTCTGTGATTCTGTGAGTTTCCAGCCCAGGGATGCAGTAGCAGAGATTGAGATGGGGAAGACACAAGATCACTTATTTCCACCTTCCATTCCACTAGGCAGTTTCTTTGCTTTTAATTCTCCTCCACATACTGTCCCTATATCTTAAGGACAAACAAATGGACTGCAATATTAGCAAAGCTTGTTACTCCATCAATGTACTATCCACACGCAAAATTAATTTGCGTAGAAGGGAACGCTTTCCCTATGGTCTGAATCCTCTCTGAGGACATCAGTCTGTGCCAAGTATAGCATAATTGCTGACATTTTCCCTGCATCTCAGAAACTTTCACCATCCCTTTCTTAAGCATCATGGGCTCTAGCTTCAGGACTTACCCTAGAAGCGGCAATGATTACAGTTATGTCTAAAAATTATGGAATAAACCTTGATCCCAGAAAGATGTCATCAAACTGGCAAAGCTTCAGATAAAAGTAACAAAAGTAATCATGGGTTGCAGAGTTTGATTTACGGGGAAAGACTAAAAGGCCCAAGTATGTATAAGCTTAGCCAAATGATGACTAAGGGAAAATATCGCAAATGTCTACAAGTATTTGAAGGGTCTAAACACCATGGGAATAGGCCAGTGTGGGAAGTTTATGTTCATACTTTTCTTTGTATGTATGATGTTAAATTTTGCCTGCACTATTGTTGGGACTTTCCTAAACCTTATTGCTTTAAGACCTCAAGCTTTTCCAAAACAAAGGCAGAGAAAATGTACCACTAAGAAATCTTAGATTGATTTACCTTTCTTCTCAGCTATTTGAATATTTGTCTTAACTGAAGCATTACCTTGAATTGAAAATTTTGTGTAGGGCATAGGGAGGATATTCATCTTGAGGTATGAGAGAAGATGTGTGTGTAAAGCTATGTTTTATAAGACCAACAACAGGATTTCTATTTTTTTTCTTCTTTTTTATTAAATGATTGGATCAGCTGAAAAAGTCCAGCTATGTTAACAGTGCATCATTGGGCCATTAAATGAATGGCCCACCTTATTAGTAAAAGTAACATTAATTCCTTTTGTATTTTACTAGTGTTGGCCTTGTTTACATAGGAAGTCTGGGTGTTTTACAGTGTGCTAGTAACCAATTCTTAATTCCCTTTGTGACAATTTGGCCATATTTAGGCATCTTAACTCCATCTACTTCTCTGCTCTGCATCAACAGCAAAGCCAGGCACATTGCAGACACTGAAGAGAGTACACAGGACCAGAATAAGGTCCCCTTCTGCTCAAACTTTGAACTCAGTTTGGAAGCTGCATAGTGATGCTAACATGATGCTACCTGAAAGATTTGCTAAAAGATAATGTAAATAGCTTAAAGAAGGTTCTTCACTAAAATGACACTGGAGCTTGCAGCATCAGAACATCAGCAATTTGGATATATTTGTGAAATCATCATGCTAGAAAGGACTACCACATCACATTGTTTTAATAAAATTGTATTAATCTGTATTGCTCCAAGTTTTGTTCTGGATAGCGCTTCATGTCAGCTTGCATGAGAAAAGAAAGACAGTGACACTCAGGTTCAGTAAAGTGCTGGTCCCACCGGACGTGTCCATGGGTCGCAGCAGCGAATTTGTGGAAGAGGAGAGCCATGTCTCCAGAAGCACAATCTCTCATCTGCACTGACAGCACTTTGGATTAGAGAATCAGGGTCACAGCATTGGGATTCCACTTTGGGAAATCTGAAGGTGGCCTGCAGCGTGGGAGCCAAATGTTGCTGCTGTAATTACACACTTGGATGTTACCTATATGGAACAGCACTGTGTAAGGAGGGTCACCACACCTTGCTAGGGCTCCCAAAACATACAAATACACAACGGAAGAATTAAAACTCAAATGTGTCTTATTGCGATGTACAGAACTAAGCAAAGGCTGAGCTAAACTTCTCTACTGCAATGCAACCACTACAATGGAAAATCCTCATGCTTTATGAAACACAATCATAAAAATGAGTGATACAGATACACGCTCATTTTTGAGACTCTCAGAACAAAAGCAATTAATTGCACATTCAAATACTTGTTCCAGAGTGTTATCTCAAAGAGAAGCTATGCTTTTCATTATAAATTAATAAGGCCTGCCTATTTTTCTGTGGCCTGCTAAAAAGC